ACTACGCCACCGCTGCCGCAATGCATCGGGGGAACTTTAGTCTTTCTGTGCGTGCGAGCACCTCGCTGGAGCTCTGTGCGTGCAGGCTGTGCAGGCCACGAACAGTCTCGTGCACTACCGATTGCCTCCTGTGAACTAAAGTTATGGCTGCCTCCCGCATGCGTCGAATGCTTGGTGAGATCGGTCTTTTCGTTTCAACATGAACCGCGAGCGAGACAAACAATACCAGGAGTGAGCAGCATGTTTTTTTTCCGGGAGGCACTCACTTGATCGAATGACGTTTTAGCGAACGCCCACGTTTCACCGAATGACACTTTAGCGAATAGTAGGACGCCGCGAAGCGGCGTTTTCGGGTGGGCCAAATGGGTTCACATTTTTGTAATGAGCCGCCGCAGACTGTCGCCGCTGGCGGAGCGGCGTAAAGCGCAGCGCGGCGGATGGATTAACGCGCGCCCCCGTTATTCGCTAAAACGTCGATTCGCTCAAATGTCGCTGTTCGCTAAAATGTCATTCGCTCATGTGATATGAACCACTGATGGGCACGTTAAAGGGACACTGACAAGGTATTTATGCTCGCCGAGGTTTTTAGTTGTGCGTGACATATGAGAGCTGAACTACCCAGAACAGAATTTGCGGCTCAAAATTCGGTTTCTTTCCGCCCGAAAACCGCCGATCAAGAACTGGCCGGTTCGAGTCTCGCTCACTCTCTTTTCCGCGGTCACGGGCCGTTTTCTAAGGTATCGAAGCAAACACCAAATTTAATCAAAGTCGTGGGTCACTGAAGGCACACACTCAGCATTAAAAATAGAAAAAATACTAAACCCCTTTTTTGTGGCTTCTAAAAAGCTGCAAATACGTTGATTGCAAAAAAAAAGTTCCACAGACAACCGGAAGCATTCTGTGCGTTCGTCGTTCGGCGATGGCAGCGGACGACCGGCGTGGGACCTCTATTTCAGAACTGTTGTTCGCGGTACCGGCGAATTCTGTCTACCTTTAAAAGAGAAATTCGGGACTGATCAAAAGAAGTGGTATTCATACCGTACGACACGCCCGACCACCAAGCCGATTTGCACGAAGACGTCGCCGAGCCGTCGCTCCCTTCTCGTGGCTGAAGACATCGCTCGCGCAAACGTCAAGCACGACGTGTCTACTTCGAGTTGAACATGCACGCGTACGATTTCTTTACTAGGTGTGAATGTCGCCAATACGTGGTGCTTCCCGACTTCGACCCGGGAGTGCTTTTGCTAGAGGAAAACCGGCAGCAAACTTTCGAACTTACAGTTTACCGATCATTACTAAGGAGAGAGATCTACAAGTAGGAGGTGCCCCGGTAGCTTAGTGGGAAAGACGTCCGCTTCATACTCGGTAGGAACGGGATCGATCCCCCGCGAAACTTTTTTTTTTTTTCAAACATTTTCCGATGTGTACATATCTTTTTTTTTTTTTTTTTTTTTTTTACAATTATCACTGAAGAAACAAACAAAAAAAATAACAAACAAATGTTGTGGACAACACTTTGCTGAGTTAAATGGTATGGAATTTCCTTTTTGACACTTGCGAACTCAATGTAATCACTTTCCACAAAATGCAAGGAGCATATAAATAAGGAAGCCTGGGCTTTCCGAGGTGCCCGTAAATGTTGAATTGCAGCCATCCATTGGTCCCGATCTCGTTGATCTTTCGGAAACTCTGTCACACAATGCCCCCTTTTTTTTTCGGACGCAGGACATGTGAGCCAGCTCTTCACGCAACATCTTGGGTGTATTCTTTTCGGAGCCGATCATGGAAATTCACCACGGGCACTCACTACTCATCTCCAACTCCTCAATGTACAAAACAACTCATCTTGGAGTACAGAACAGCGAGCGGAACAAACATAACTGCAAAACGATCGCACGGTGAACAGTTCCCGTACGCCGCATGTCGTGTCGTCTGCTACGGAGAGGAGAAAAAAAAAAAAAAAGAACGCACGGTTGGGTGTAGTTACGTGACTTCCGCCACTCACTCTCTTTTCTCAACTTCTCCGACCTCCGTCGGGTTTCGGTTTCGGTTTCGAGCAGTTGCGTCTTTTGGCTTTATTAAAAAAATACGCAGCTCTGTTGCAAAATATTAATTGGGTAGTCCTCTGACACATAATGAAGCGCCTGACAAAAAATGGAAAAACATTTTTTGGGGGTGTCAGTGTCCCTTTAAAGGGCCGCCCACACTAGCGAGAAAGCGCGCGTGGCACGCCGATCGCGGGAAGACGCGTCTCGCATCCTGAAGACCACACTAGATAGAGTTCTGCCGTGGCGGAAAATATGTTCGCAACACAGCCCCTCGCCTGCGTTCACGCCGCTTCGTGGCGACAGTATCGGCTGCTAATTACAGTTGACCAGTACACGCCGCTTCGCGGCGTCCAGCTGGCAACCCAAGTTAACCAGTACACGCCGATCGCGGCTGTCCCCGATCGCAGCTCCGGAAAGGGAAACCCATACCATTTAGTTCTGCAAAATTTCGTCGGCAAAAAAAAAAAAAAAAAAAAAAAAGAAAAAACGTAAATATTGTTAATGCCTTGAGAAAACGGAATGTTTGAAAAAGAAAAAAATAGGCCCACCGCGGATCGGTGGGCCTATTTCGCCTAGCAACTTGACGTCGCAACACCAGCAACACGGGCCGCCCGCGTTCACACGCAGCAACCGAATTGCTCCAACTTTTCATCATCATAATTAAATTTGATTTTTCTTTCACTATTTAGACGCCCAGCTACGCGCTAAAAACACGTTCTTATATCTTTCAACGGCGTTGAGAATACTAATTAATTTTTCTGAAACTGTTTATTTCCGAAAACGATCCATTTCAAACCAGAACTAAGTCTTTACCTGTCATCATCACCACCACAGAGGTGTCACGTGCAGTTAATTGTCCAAAGTTCGAAAACCATTGTACCGCCCCTTTAAGGATAGGAATCCTAGAATTTTTTTTTCATTTTAGATAAAAATGCATGCATCCAACTCTTCTGGAGATTTAAGAGACTAGCTAGATACATTTATTGAAAGAGTAATTATTTGCCACTTTAGGAGACTCGGGCATCTAAAAATATAACTAAATTAACAATTTAGGCAACCATGGTGCCGTAGAGATGCCGGCTCGATTTAAATATTCGTTTTTTCTAACACAAACCAACTTGGTACTGTAATGAATATCCAACCCCTTGTTTTCTTATTTTTTCTGCACGGAACATACAGTAATTTTTTAATTCAAACTTGCAATTTGCGTTAAAATAAGGCAAGAACATTTCTTTGACTTCCAGGCATAATATCTTGCACTAAATCAGGACTTCAGGTCAGAGTCCCACTTATGTGCGGACGCCTAAATTAATGAAATTCTTGCAGGATTCACATTGTTTCCATCACTCCCGTAACTGTCCATCAAACTGCGTCAGATTCCTGAATATTTAAAGGCTGGAGGATTTATCGTCACATGTGCCTGAGCCTTAATCCCTTTAAAAAAGGAAGGCTTTGTATCTCTTTGTCAGCTAAAGCGGACATCCGCACCAAAGCCATGTTGTATTAACGTGAACGCTCACAAGCGACTGATTCTTTTTTTTCTTGGCTCACTGGAGCTGTCAGACAGCAAAACAAACAAACAAACTATTAAAGGTAAATAGAGCAACTGGTGTGGTTTTGCCATTTACCAGGGAGCGTGCTAAAACAAGCGCTGAAACTGATTTGCGAGTCACAATTGTGGTCAGGCTTTATCGTCCATTAGGAGTAACATGAGTGATGCTCATTATTAGTAGTAATATTACCATATTTTCTGGGCTATAGTCTGTGGACTATACATGTTTAAAAATTGGAATTTTAGGCTGTGCAGACTATCTACGCCTGCGGACTATACAGGAATTTTGTTTGTCTAGATTGTTCATTATACGAGACGTAACGGATTTTGTGAATTAAAAAATATGTATAATGATTTATGTATAATACAAGCTTCTTTGTGAGCTAAGAAAGCAGACATTTGTCAAGGTGTGCTGTGCATGAGAATATTTTTATGTCGACTAAGCACCGGTACGGACTATGCACGGCGTGGAGACTATGCAAAAAAATTTATTTTTGACCTTAAACTTGCCTTTGCAGACTAACACCGGGTGCAGATTATAGCCTGGAAAATATGGTATTTAACGTTCTTAAAGTAAAACGTGCGCTCACTTACATCAACTATTGGATGTTTGTGTGTTCGTGGGCATACAGTTTTTGTGACAGTCTTGAACAAACACCATCTGAGGAACCCATAAACAAACTAAAAAATTGATGCAGCTTTGTTAATTCGACCAAACGTGATGAAAGCCGGCACCTTTAGAGGGACATTGTTAGTGAAAACAATTAGGAAATCATACGGTGATGAAATGGTTGTAATACACTGTACACACATCGAGGACGACGTCAAGAACAGTGTCTAGGACAATTTCAAATACAATGTGAAAAACGACTGATGTCTAGGACGACCTCTAGGACGACAATGAGGAGGATGTCAAGGACGTCAGGTCATGTCAGCTTCAGCTACCGGCGCTTATGAGCTTACACGACCTTGGCTTAAGCGAACGAAGCTTGCGCAACCAGCGCTTACAGGGTAACGCGACCGGAGCTTCCGCATCACTACAGCCGCGGTGTTACGTGCCTTGATAACGCGTCCTTTAGCGTGGTTTGGGCTCTCTCTCTCTTTCTCTTTTCCTCCCCCCCTTCCTTAAACTTGAGCACTTCTAAATTTTGGAGGGCTATGAGCTCAATTGCTGGTGATGTGAGAACTATCGAGGGGCACTAGTCATGATCCCAGGCACTGTACTCTTGAAACCATAACAGAGTTGCTGTATACAATAACTTTCTTAATGAATAGGCTACAAGTATTTTTCTAACATAAAGTTTTGTTGCAGTGGAGGGGCGTGCTTTTTTGTCGTGATGTTCCCCCACTTCGAGGACAGTCTGGCGGTTGTCCCGAGGTGCTGGATGCTTGAGGGAAAGCTAGCCTGTTGTTGGCCAAAAGGCCGGCATCATAATTTTAAAAGACTCGTACGCAAAGGAGTGGAGCCGGATGAAAACTGGTACATCCATGGAGTTGTGGTGCTAAAGGAGTGCTGTAAGTAATTTTGTAATTTTTTTCTTTTGAAGTACATTGGCTTATGCTGCCTCTAGACACTTGTGAATATGTGAATGCAGTGATCCCCTGTTACTATGACCAGCTTCATGTTTGCAAGAAGTCTTCATGATAGAGTGAGCGAGGGTTGTCAACATGAGTCAAGCGTGCAAGCATCTTATTGCAAATATGAATTGGTGAAGGGTGACCAAGTTACCCGACATATACATTGAATGCCGTAAAAGAGAACTATGTGGTTGGTTTTATTGGGCACAAAAAGTAAAGACTCAATTAAGTATTGTCCAAGGTTGTTATGTTGTGCAGACAGCCGACTTGCATGTGTTGCTCTTTATGTAATTTTACCAAGTATGTATGTTTATATACATAAATGTCTATACATACATACAAGTATGTATATATATCCATTGGCAATTAGAAGGCATCACATACATATGGGTATGGCCCTGCAGACTTATGTAATGACCTAACTCGCAGAGTTAAATAAAATATACTAATACCAAGTAACTGGACTTAACCATGTATATGAACAATATAATTACAAGGAAAATTGCTTTTTAACAAAGCCAAATATCTTGTGCATTTGCACTTCCATGCATTAATATTTTGCAATTAGGTTAAAACCAACTAAAATAAATCGGAAGCATAATGCGATTGTGCGAACCTGCAGCACATGTGTCGCTCACCTTTCGGCTGCAATAAACCAAACCTGACTCAGCTCGACTCGTTCATCGGTATCCGAAACTGCATTTTAAACGGTTCGGGATGTTTAGATTTTCACAGGAGTGCTGCCATGCCTTTCAATATTAAAATGTATTGTCACTGACAGGACAAACAAAAGGGAGGTCCTTCAGTACGGGGTCCCAGATCCAGTGACAGTCGCCTCCCTTCGATAACTCTTTCGCATCTTGTGAGCTTTCAGCGTTTTCGTGCAGCCAATGCGCAATGGAAGGCGATAAACACATGCCGGAGCTTGTTTTGTGATTTACTATCAAACATATTACTGAACTTGGACAAAAGTTCCAGCTGGCTATATGGAGACATACCAGTATCATCTCGCCTGGAGTATATGTGGCGAAGATTTTCAACTTGTAGGTACAATGCTAGGTCTGAGCTGTTGCTGCTTTTAGCATGTCTCTAAGTTACATTTCAAAATTTTACAAGTTGGGTACCTGGATCAGTTTTTTTTTAGTTATATGCTAACTCCTTATCCATTTTTTTTATTTTTCGCAATTCATAAGCTATTCTTTTTTTTATTTATTGTATGTGGTGGAGAAAGGTGCGGTACAAGCCACACGTGTCTCCACCACAAATCGCTATGTTTAAAAATGTGTAAAAAAAAATGTGTTGCCATATTTTGGCAGCGCTGCACACTAAGCTCTCGACATGCCTGGGTAGTCCAAAACAGCCAAGGGGCGAGCGAGAGTTTGCGGTAAAGCTATATTCATCCTATACGGTTCGGAGACAGCTCTAGGTGGACAAGCTAAGCTTGTCCTAAATGATTAAGGGGTTAAATACCTGACGTTGGTAAAACTTTTTAATCTGTCCTTTTGTTGGGCATGCTGACCTTTATTGATTTAGGACAGAAACCGCCAAGAATTTCTGATCCAATTTGTTTTTCATCAAATGTCTGACAGTAATCTTATATAAGCCATGTATTGCTTTATTTTGAAGGTAAAAGTCATCATAAAGGGCTATGTGGAAAAAAAAGACTGGCGTTAATATTTTCTTTTTTCATGAAAGCAACATATGACAAGGCCCTGAGGGTACTGAAAAGGGCAGAAGAAGACGAGGCACTGGACACCACGGATGGTGGAGTGGAGCGTGGATCACCAGGTAATATGGCTCACATTGGTAATAACAATTAAAATGGCAAGAGCACTAGAGTGGTGAACCCCAGTCATGTCACCTAATTTCCAATGTCAATTTTCGTAGGTGACCGTCACTTCCACAGGCGGCCACTTTCCACCCAACAGGCGACGTCGCTGCCTGCACCACGTAAATAATTTTACAAATTGCTTGAATAATTAAATACATAAATGATTTTACAAATGCTAGCACTGCCAGTGTGTGCCAAAAAAAAATTATGTGAACCGTCTGTGCACCCAGCCATCTTCACTCAAGAATGCTAAGAAAATGAAAAAAAGAAGCATTTTGTTTGTTCAAAGAATGGACAGTGTACTGTATAATAACTGCTTTAAACATCTAATACATGCATGATAAACACTTTCATGTGTTAAGCTTCTTACACTCAAAAAATCTTAATTTTTAATAAAAAAAAACATATTACTGAGCAGACGACATATGGTACGCAGCAAACACTGTTGTGTTTTGCTGCACTGAAGGTTTCTAAAAAAATGTGCAAGACGACTGTTCACATGAATAGCTACAATTAATACAGCACACTTTTTTCTTGAGGTATTATTGTTCTACAAACTAGTTATGAAAGATAAATCATTTAAATTTTCTGTCGAAGCCCACTTTCTTTAGACGATGAAGCAGCACAGATCTCCAGGTTTCGGTGCTCCCTTTCTCATGTCATGAAAGGGCATGCACCGATTTACGAAATGACTCATTAGTGCAGCACATTATTTTCTTTGTTCCGCAGCATAATGTGTTCCTTGTATCATGAATACTCATCTGAGGGTTACTGAACAAGATGGCTAAAATTCCTAGGGTGTCTTATTATTTCGGTGTTCTTGTTACCAATCACTCAAAGTCCCGCTCATGCTTGTCATTCTTAGATTAATCATTATAGTTGGGTATTACGTCGGGGAACATTAACAGGTCCCTCGGGGCCTTACAATCTGTTCACGTCCAGGGCCTGCATAACTTTAACAAAACATAGACTTGGTAGAAGAGGAAGAAGAGGTCGAAGCTCTCACTGTTCCATTCCATTTAGTCACCCCCTGAAGAAGGAGTCAAGTAGACCTCGAAACTGTGGCAACTGTTAGTTTCTGAGCTTTTGGTTTGAGATTTTTTTTTTTATTATTTTTTTAAACCAGACAGATTTCTGTCAAAGATGTTTACTTTCACTCCTTTTGTGATGTTACGCCCTGGCAAGGAGGGCCTTCAGTGGCCTGCGTGCCCCAAATAAAAAAAGTAATTTAGATATTCGAGATCTTGGAGGTCAAATGAAAATTATATAAGTGGGTTTTCTCAAATACAAAACCGCCTCAGCTTCCCTTTAATGTATTTACCAGGTGTTACCACGTGTGTTGTCTTGCCATACATGCAGCCGACATACGCTTCCATCATTCGGATCTTAGTGCAATATTTGGTGGCACTTTAAGGCTTAAGTGGCCGAATTGACATGCTTTGCAAAAACTAACCTTTTTTTAGAGGTACCTGACTCGTCTAACATCTTTTGGAACTTTCAGTAACCAGTCCCAAAGTCTAGAACCCTATAGCCTTCATGTTTTCTGAATTACAGGGCATAGTTCAATGTTGCAATCATTGCCCTCGCGCAATGATTTTGCTGAGAGTAAAGCAAAGGTGTCAACCCTATGTATCAACAAGGGTGGTGCAGAAACTATTACCATAGTGTTACCTTAAAAACTTCTGTTGGTGGCACAGTCTTATCAGTGTTTCCTTGGAGGTCGCCGTTTCCAGTCGTTGCTGTGCAGGTTTGAATGTGTTAAATTAATTTGTGACTGAGATGCGAGAAACAATGGCTGCTTCACTTATGATTTGCATGAGTGGGATAGGTCCATTGTTTTTGTGGTCTGTGGGTGTGCTTAGTGTCAAGTATTTTGTCACAAAGAAGTGTGTTTGAAATGATTCAGAAGTTCAAGGACAACCATGCAAGTGTCAGCTATAATGAAGCAGCCAGATACCTGTCCGTGTCCATGACTAATGACGACTTTAAGGCTCGCGCTGCGGAAACCAGGATCCTGGGTTCAATCCCCACTGCTGCCCGTTTCGATCTGGATGAGCATCGTACCGGCGTGCGGTCGTGTATCACTACTGCGTGGTGCACGTTAAAGACCCCAGGCTAGCGGTTCTACTGCACTGGCTAAATGTCTTATCTACAGCTGGGAGGTTCGTCGCACATTGAGGCAGACTAAGTTCTAGACTGTATAAACATACACACAACCCAATTTTCAATGACATTAAGCATATGCGTGAACTGATTTTGTTGAATAGATGATAGTGGATGATGACAAATAATTTGCAAATCAGTCAAAGCTTCAGCTATTTAATACTACATGACAGGCTTGGGTCTGGAGAATTGTTTGATTAAGGTAAGTTCTACATTTAGGGTGCTGTAGAGTTTATTTTTAAATCACTATCATAACTTACCTCAGGAATTAACCTATTTACGAGTGATAAATTTAAATTCAAGAACACTTTAGGCTGCCAGGGAAAATGCTAGCATGACTTAAGAACTGCTGAAAATCCCACTGCCCACAAAGCGGCAACTTCTTGCTCTAGTCAACTGAGTGAAACGTTCAGAAAACCTGGAAATTGGCAGCACTGCACATGGGCTGATATACCTTAATATATATGTATGATTAGCTTTCCCCCATTTGTTTGGTGCACTTCTTGAGTGAGTTGACATTAACGATAACCTACTAAGTTGCAATTTTGTGATGCATACTATCCTTTATCATCTACAGCTTACAAACAAATTTTTGATATTCCCAATGAAAATAAAAAGATGCGAGCGAGGGACTATTGTCGTTAAAATTTCTGTCATTTGTACGAGTTCAATTTTAAACCACTACTTTCAGCTCCTGGTCTTGCCTGTGGAGTATTTGGCCCAAGAAGTAAGATATTTGCTAGTTTAAACAGTATGAATTACTATGCGAAGCTTTCAATTGTGATTATTTTGTTACGGTATATTTACAATCCCAATGGCCTGTAGATGGCGGGGTGGTAGTTCTAAGACAACGGGAGAGATGGGGTTAGATATTGCAGGATTTTCCATGCACCTGCTCGCTGATGCAGGTCAGCATGCTTAAAGTAATTTATTCGGCTACAAACGCAAAGCGGTCAGAGCAGGAGCATATCGCAGGTGACGGAGTTGTTGATATATATTAGGAAAACAAGCAGGTTAATTTTTAAAAGTTGCAGAGACCTCACAGAACTTTTGAAGCTTTGTGGAGGACGAGCGCATTTAAAAAGACTGACCCTGTCGTTGTGTGTGGGAAGAAAATGTGAGGGTGATCAAGATATCGTTGTGTTCGCATCGTGCCTGGCCACCAGTATTCTAAAGTTGAGCTCCGCATAGTGACTGTTAAGCTGTGGACAAGCCGCGTTCACAGTTAGTACTTATGTCTTTGTGTCAGAGGCTCACAACTCACTGCATATTAGTTTTAATTCATGGGAATACTTGATCAACCTCCGCCATAGTCACTAATGGTCTATGTTGGCATTGTCCTGTCTTTTGCAACCTTGCAGTTTTTGAGGTTTCTGCTAGCTGATTATGGCTTAATAGGAGTTTAGGATTGCATTCAAATTTACAAGTAACTAAACTCTGAAAACATTATGGCACAAAAGCATAAATTTTCTACCCACATCTTATCAGAAGTTATAAGAAAATATTGTTGCCAATCAGATGTATTTATGTTTTGTTTCATTAGTGAACATTAGAGCTTTCAATATTTAAACTAAAGCAATTGGTCACTGCTACGACATTCCAACCAACACGAGGCTGGCAAAATTTTCCTAGAAGTTATGTGAGAAAGCACCAAATAAAGAGGAGTCGCATGCACTCAGGCCTTCAACGCCACTTGTGTAGTGGAAATGTCAATGAAATCACAAACTTGGACGATACCAGATTGTGGTAGTCCTTGTTCTTTTAAGAGTAAACTGCAAAAAAGGCCACTGTTGTGCATTAACAAATGTTCTGTCAGAGAAAACTATAAGAATGAGCAGCTGTGTCATGTTCATATTAATTTTATTGCTCAGTGTACATTCCTTATTGTGTATATTTTAGCAGGTAACAATGTATATTTTCCTGCAATTCAGCTTCATCGCCAGTTGCCACTGACGCCGCAAGGTCAAGCTTGGTTTTTGACCACCAACTGCCTGCAACGGCTTCTATGATCACAGGTTGTTTAGCTGATTCTGAAGTTCCAAATTGATTGCTAATACTGGACTCATACAAGCAAGCAAATAATGCAAAGTTCTTTTGATGAAGGAGTAGGCTAGGTGTTATTGTGATAGATATATACAAAATGTTTTTTATTAGGACCAGGATTTTAAAAAAAAGAAAGAACTTGCAGGTTTTCTTTAGTCCTGGGGGCAAGTAGTTGCCTATTGACCTTTCCAGCGGCAGTCTCGAACGAAGCGATTTCCAGCGCGCGTCCCTGGTTTTGAGATTGTACATCAGTGTTGCCCGACTGCGCTGAGCTGTGGGTTTTCTCGTCAATAAGCTGTGGAAGCCTGCGTAGGAGCAATTTTGAACGCTGGTGGCAGAAAAATCGCCTCGCTTTATTTATTTTTTTTTTTTGGTGTGCTATGGCGAAGAGAATTTCTCGAAGTTTTTAAGAGAGCATTGAACTATTTTTGGGAACAGAAACAAACAAATGAAAGCTATTTTCGGTGAGTCCGTGCGCGATAGAGCAAATGCTACTGGAATGTTTGTTTCATTTTATGCGTATATTTTTACGGCACCATACACTTAGCCGTGTCAAACTACAAAGATCTTAACTGCCTAACATATTTGACCACACCAGAGGATAACCGAACTGCATGGATATTGCCCGCTCACTATATGAAATTCAACGAATCTCATCAATCGAACAACATATATTGTGCGTACCCCACGGTGCCGAGTTATCCGAACAGGATTTGAGAAAGGTCTCAAGTAACACAGCATATCCAATATACAGTGTCGACTACAGTCACTTCACGACGATCGGACGGAATCCGGCTTGTCTTGGGGTTGGGGTACGTTTTGAAGAGTGATGTTTTTTTACACAGCACTAAAGCAAATGAACGAACATGTCTATTCCTTCCACACACCTAGGTCCCGACCCTATCAGCTATTTTTCGCGAAGACCCGGAACATAGCCGGTATGGGGAAAAGAACACGACCGAATCGATTGGTGCTGGGGCTCCGACTGCCCGCACGTTTTTAATTTGCGCGTGACCCGCTTCACGGAGCTCGTGACGCGAGCTCCGTGCTCCGGCCATTGTTGCGGGCTCCTACAGGGCTCCCCCCCTGGTAGCATGGATCGTAGGAGAAGAAAAACTAATAGATCCCATGCTGGCAAAAACAAAAACAAAGGAAGAAAAATAATGAGTAGATTCGGTTCTGACATTAAAGCACAAGAAAAGCTATATGGAGCTATGTGGCCCATGAGACGCGCTTTCTTGTGGGAGGGGTCGTGTTCGCTCGCAGAGACAGTAGGTGTTCTGTGGATAGAGACTGGTCCTTAAATTCTTGAAATGCAGGCTTGAGTCTGTCCATCGCTATGGTTTCTGTATGTCCGTTGACGTCTAGAATCATGGTTTTCTCGGTGCGTTTGAGCACCTTGAAAGGTCCATCATAGGGCGGAGTCAGACTTTTCTTGCTGCCTTCTTTGCGAATGAAAACATGCGTGCATGTTTGGATCTCCTGGCTGACGAAAACTTTCTGAGAATCAGGATATCGAGGTAGTGTCGGTTGAAGCTCTCGGATGAGCTCTCGCAGGCTGTCCAAGTACGTTTGGGATGGGACCGTTTGGGAATTTTTGTTGCTGTTGAAAAATTCACCAGGAAGTCTAAGTGTCGAGCCATAGACGAGTTCCGCTGCGGTGCATCCGAGGTCTAGTTTGAGCGCGGATCGAACGCCGAGGAGGACGAATGGTAGGTGATCGACCCAGTTGAGTCGCCCGTCTCGTGCCGTAATTGCTGCCTTGAGTTGTCGGTGCAGTCTTTCTACCATGCCGTTAGCCGAGGGGTGGTAGGCGGTAGTATGCACATGGTGAACTCCTAGGAGCTGGGCTAGAGCGGCAAAAAGCGAGGACTGGAACTGCCGTCCCCGGTCCGTAGTGACGGTGGATGGACAGCCAAAGCGGGCGATCCAAACCTCAACAAACGTCCTGGCGACAGTCTCGGCAGTGATGTCGGGTAGAGGTATAGCTTCGGGCCACCTGGTATAGCGGTCCACGCAAGTCAAGATGTAAGTAAATCCCCGGCATGGAGGCAGTGGACCCACAATGTCAAGATGCACATGATCGAACCGTGCAGAAGGAGAGCGGAACGGTACCAATGGAGTAACCGTGTGCCGGCTCACCTTAGAGCGCTGACATTGCAGACATGTTCGTGCCCAGCCACGTACATCCGCGTTGATGGTAGGCCAGATGTAGCGAGCTGTTATCAGGCGCTGTGTGGCTCGGATGCCTGGGTGACTGATGTTGTGGAGGTGGTCGAAAACTTTCCGACGAAGAGCTAGCGGAACAAGAGGTCGAGGACTGCTGGTAGACATGTCGCAGAGGATGGTACCGTTAGAATGAGGGAGAGGAATTTCCCTGAGTACCAAGGACTTCAGCATGTCGGGATGGGCAAGCAACTCCGGATCATCTCGTTGTGCGGCAGCAATGCTCTCAAAATCGACAGCTCCACGACTTGCCGAGACAGCGTCGACACGGGAGAGCGCGTCCGCCGCTGAGTTGTCTTTGCCTTTTACGTGGCGGAGATCAACCGTGAACTCGGAAATGAAAGCAAGTTGTCGTATCTCTCGGGAGCAGTAGGCGGTGTGGTTGCCATGGAAAGCATACGTTAGAGGCTTGTGGTCCGTCAGGATGTGAAACTCGTGACCTTCAAGAATATACCTGAAATGTTTGACAGCCAGGTACACTGCAAGAAGTTCACGTCCGAACGTGCTGTAACGTGTTTCGGCAGGCTTCAGTTTCTGGGAAAAAAATACAAGTGTTCGCCACTCGCCGTCAAGCATCTGTTGCAGGACAGCGCCGGCAGCAGTGCTGGAGGCGTCAGTCATGAGACGGGTGGGGGCTCCAGGTTGCGGATAGAAAAGCAGGGCTGCATTGGCCAAGGCTTCTTTAACGCTGGAAAAAGCAGACGCAGCTTCTGCGTTCCATGGAACTGCTGATGATGGCCCTTTCTTGGTTCTAAGAAGATCCGTCATGGGCTGAATCATTTCAGCACAGTGCGGAATGAATCTTCGATGGAAATTGATCAAGCCCAGAAACTCGCGAAGCTTGCGAAGTGACGTGGGTTGGGGAAACTCGCGGATTGCCCGGACTTTGTCTGCGAGTGGTAAGATGCCCCTTGACGTAACGCGATGGCCCAGAAAGTCCAGCGCATCAACGCCGAAAACGCACTTCTTCGCGTTGATGACGAGACCGTACTCCTGCAGCCGGTCGAACAACAGTCGCAGGTGTTGCTCGTGTTCTTCCGGAGAGGTGCTGGCCACGAGGATATCGTCAACGTACGCGAAAATGAAGTGAAGTCCTCTGGTCACTTCGTTGATAAGGCGTTGGAACGTCTGAGCGGAGTTTCGCAGGCCAAAGGGCATTCTTACGTATTCGAAAAGTCCGAACGGAGTAGTGATGGCAGTCTTGGCCACGTCCGCTGGCTCTACGGGAATCTGGTGGTAAGCCTTTATCAGGTCTACCTTGCTGTATATGTTGGTACCAGCAAGCCCAGCGGAGAAATCGTGAATGTTCGGCAAAGGGTACCGATCAGGTACCGTGCGTGCATTCAAAGCTCGATAATCTCCGCATGGTCTCCAGTCATTCGGGTCCTTTTTCGGGACCATATGTAGTGGCGACGCCCAGTTGCTGGAAGACGGGCGGACGAATCCGAGCTCCAGCATATGTTCGAACTCTCGACGCGCGATGTTTAGTCGCTCGCCAAATAGGCGGCGAGGACGCGCGGAGATGGGCGGGCCACTGGTGATGATGTGATGTGTCACACCGTGCTTGGTTGGTACCTCCGCATTGCAGGGCCGGGTTATGGCAGGGTATTCTGTGAGGAGGGCTTCATACCTCGACGTCGTCGCCAGGGGACGCATCGGGGAAGCGTTGAATGACGACAGGATACCCTGGATGGTCAAGGATGTGGTGGCATCGGTGAGGCTTCGGCCACGGATGTTGACGGCAAGGCCAAAGTTTGCCAGGAAGTCCGCTCCCAGTATGGCTTGACGGAGATCCGCGACAATGAAGACCCACCGGAAAAGTCGCCTTAGCCCTATGTCGATGGTTAGGGATCTCTGGCCAAAAGTGGCAATTGCCGAGCTGTTGACGGCTCGTAGGGGCGCGGTATGTTGCACTTGCTGACGGTCCAGTCGTGACGCAGGCAAGACGCTCACCTCGGCCCCGGTGTCCACTAAGAAGCGGTGACCAGAGATTTGGTCAACAACGTAGAAAAGGCGGCTTGTGTGTTGGCCATCGTCACTCGCCGCTGCTAGTGCCGGGCCTCGGGGTTTTCCGACCAGGAGCATGGTTGATGGCAGTGTGTGGCCCGTTCCGCGTAACGCCGGTGGTACCAGCACAGGGCTCTGCTGCTTGACCGCGAGGCTCGTCGCGAGGCTGAACGGGCGTGAGGGGAGCCGCGCCTGGATCGTCGAGGTCTTTCGTCTGACGCCTTCATGGCGGCCACAGCGCAGGAAAGCTCTGCTATGCTTGCCTTGATCTCGGCGACTGTTGCTTGCCAGGGCTGGGGCTCGTGAGGATCGTGAGATGCCACAGCAGCAATAGAAGGGGCTGAATATTCAGCAGTCCGATCCGCCAGCGTGGCAAGACGATCTAGCGGCATGTCGTCAGCAGCTGCAAGAACCATGCGCATTCCTTGCGGAAGTTTTTGAAGAAAGAGCTCCCGCAGTATACGGTCTTGGGAATCGGTGGCTTGGGGACCCAGCAACTGTCGCATTTGGTGGAGAAGTTGCGATGGGCGGCGATCTCCTAGCTCCTGGGCTGTCAGAAGTTGCTGGATTCGTGACCGCTCCGATGCCGTTGTTCGTTCGAGCAGAATGCTTTTCAAGTGATCATATGCGTCCTCACGCGGTGGCTCCGTTAGCACGTCATCGATTTCGTCGGCCACGCTTGGCGGCAGAGAGGCAACGACGTGGTAGAATCGTGAGAGCTGGGTAGTGATGCGGCGAAGATGAAACTGCGCCTCGACTTGGGTGAACCAAACTCGCGGGTTCTTCGGCCAAAAAGGGGGAAGGCGCAAGTTGACCGCTGCGAGGTTGGCGTCAGAGGACTGAAGTGGCGCGCCGTCGCCAGTGTGAGCGTTGCCTTGATCCATGTTGGTTGAGGCTGCTAGAGAAGGCGACGGGGAGCCTTCAGATTCCGGGTCACCATTTATGGGGAAAAGAACACGACCGAATCGATTGGTGCTGGGGCTCCGACTGCCCGCACGTTTTTAATTTGCGCGTGACCCGCTTCACGGAGCTCGTGACGCGAGCTCCGTGCTCCGGCCATTGTTGCGGGCTCCTACAGCCGGAAAGGCTTTTCGGAGATTATCTCAACAGAAATAGTCCTCGAAGAACGTCGAACGGCCCGCGTCGCGGGCTGCATGACGTTCGCTCTCTTCGTTCGTTTCCTGCGAAGGTCGAGCAGGCTACGAGCTCTGGTATTCCCTGGTTCTCACAGTGGAAGATTACAAAAACACGCAAGCATCCTGAACAGGCAAATAGAGTAAACACTTTCAAGGAAAGCCGGCGAACTTCAAACACGCAATGCAGGTGGGGAGTCGCGCTAACCGGGTTTCCACAGCTCAGGCGGGTGGCAGAAATTTTTGGCTGATAGGGGTCGCTTGAGTCGCAAAATGGCGGCGGCCAGCTAGTTGTCTTTGCAAAGGTCTATAGCAGCAACTAGAAAAGAGGCTCAATTGATTCATTAGTTACCTAAGTAGCTAAGATTTAATTTTCTATCTAAATCTTAACCAACTTTTTGGGACAAAATGTAATTGGAGAATCTATGCTCGACCTCATTATGTAGCTGTGACATGAAATTTTGATTAAATAATTAGTGGGTACTACGCGGCAAGAAATGTCATCTTAGTACATGGATTCAAACAAAAACTGAGCCAGCAGAACATGCCCATGACGTCGATCCCTGTGCTTTGTGCCATCATCACACTGCCTTTCGTCGCCTGCGGCATGAACTTTTGGGTTGTGGAGCCAGTACAGAGCGAAGAAATCACCATCACCATTGCTCTTTGCCTGCTCAGTTTCAGTTACGAGGTGTGTACAAGGATTGACATTTCACATCATGGTTGGTTAAGACCAGAGTTACGCAAACTTGTAGACCCGCGACCTCTAAAATAACGCCGTCCGATTACCTACCCTACCCTACCCCCCCCCCCCCCCCCCCCCCGTCCCCTTCCCCGCTTTAGAGCAGTATCAAAGCAATCAACGGCTCAGCTTTCTGAGGCCTCCCCCCCAGACGTCACCTCTCAACCCCGGCTTTTTGTACCGCTGGGTTAAACTAGAATGAAGTTGAGTGTCAATGTCCAACTTCGTTATGACGGAAGATATTATTTAAACTTCAAAAAGTTTGCAGAAACCTTTTAGTCAGCTAGCTAATTATTCCGTTTCATCTCTTTTCTAGTTGTCCCCATAGCTCCAGCCAAGCCCTGTAAACGTTGCAGCCCACCAGCAGGAAATTTCTAAAAATCTAGTTTATCAAAGTAATAAAAATATATCTTTGCTAATCAGAAGTATTCATGTTTTGTTTCATCAGTGAACATTAGAGCATTTAATAATTAAACTATAGCAATCAGTCACTGCTACGTGATTCCCACCAACACGAGGCTGGCAAGAATTTTGAAGAAGTGCTGTAAGATAGTATGGAATAAAGAGAAGTCAAATGCACTCAGTCCTTAAAACAACTTGCTTGGTGGGAATGTTATGAGAAGCACCAATTTGGACAATAACAGATTGGGTTTGTCCTTGTTATTTGAGGAGCAAACTGAAAAAAGTGCCACTGTCATGCATCAGCAAATGTTCTGTTAGGGCAGGGGTTCTCAAACTGGGTTCTGGGGAACACTGGTTTCACGAGCTGGTCTCATGGGTTCAGCGAACACCCAAATTGCCATCCCCCCCCTCCCCCCAATCCCCCCTCCCCCGCTGCAGGCTGCACGGCAGGACCATGCAAAGCGCCTTCATCTCACTTTGTACTGACATCGCAATTGATATGGTGGGGATATATGGGAAGCAACACAAGCAGAATTGCCTACAATTGTGCATCTGTTGCTTCTCGGTCGGCAAATATAGAGGAGGGGGGGAGCAGTGTTCCGTGGCAGTTTTTGAGGCTTCCTGGGGTTCCGTGAGACCAAAAAGTTTGAGAACCCCTGTGTGAGGGAAACGTTTGAAAAGAGGCCAATTTGTTTGATTTGCACACCAGTAGCAAAGTATAAACTAACGCGGAAAGCACCCACTTCGTTCAAGCACCCACTATTAACACTTTCCAAACTTGGAAATTCTGCAGTTTGTACGTTCAGCGCCCGATTTGACCATTGACAAGCGCCATTGTCTAGATTAACCCAGTTTTCAGTGAAAGTGAGGTGGGCACTCCACTGGTATCTTATGGTAGCTGTGTTTGGAGATTCGTGTTTGTCCTCCTTGTTCTTCTTCTCCGGGGATTATTAGTGTTATTCTTGTCCACCTGGCTTGCTCCTTTACATTAATTGCATTATCACCTTTGTCATGTTCATATTAACTGTATTGCTCATTGTACATTCCTTATCCTGTATAATATACCAGGTAACAATATATATTTGTCTGCATTTCAGCTCCACCTACCAATGATGCGGGAAGGCCGGCAAGCTGCGCTTCAGACTGCCAACCACACCCTCCAGCAACAGTTCCTGCACTCACAGGTTGTTTAGCCAATTCTGAACTTCCAAATTAGTTCCTAATGCTGCAATCATACAAGCAGGCGAATAATGCTCATTTATTATGTTAAAGAAGTCCAGGTGTTTTGGTGTCATGACATTTACAGAATCGGTTCTATAGCAGAACCAGAATTGTTTTTAAACAAGAAATCTGATGTACAGTGTAGACCGCATATAACGTATGTCGCGGGAGTCGCGAAAATCTGCACTATAAGCGGTACCGCGCTATAACCAAAACATCAATTTTTCAGGCCAAAATACATGCCATCAGACAACTTACCTTTGTAACACAATTTATTTTATGTTAGATGAAAAATAAAGCTTAGTTTGAGGAAAGTCTTTATTTCACAATACTTCTCTCTCAAGTGTGTCACACATTTTGAAAGAAATGAGCGACTTTCGCCTGGCACAGCCTTTTAACGGCGTCGCGGGTTGCGGACGGACGTTGCTAACGTCAGAATTGCTAACCCTAATCACTTTTCTACGGCGATGAAAACACGTGAAAATTCGCATCCTTTATACGGAATGCGCCAGTAATACCTTCAACTTGAGCACAGGCACGAAATGCTCCAAATAAGAAATCCGGGCGATGTTTGAAAACACAAATGCTTAGAAAGGACCACTGTAGTCGAAGTAACAAACACGACAACACGGGCGTTTCTGCCGTTTTGAGAGTGCCGCCACAACATCGCCGCACGAGTAGGTGGACCTTCCCTTCTAGTACGTGCTACGTTATCATAGCGACACACAACGAAAATTCACTGTCAAGGATAGCGCTTTTACGCGGAACGATGAGCGACGATCACAACCGACGCCATGTTTGCGGATAGAAGCAGCCGGCCCGTGACCGGCATGCAATGCGCGCGAACACTTCTCCTCGACCTGCGATTGGTCTGTCGTTGCGGTTGTTTCCAATGCAGCGGAGGGACGCACGCACGTTTACGACACGTCCATGCCTCCCTCAGTCGCTATGGCAACTGAGGCCTCCCTCTTCGCTTCTTCCCGCTTCTTCGAGCAACCTCCTTGCCCCGCCGAGTGCAGCTCGTGGCTAGCGCCGTTATCTAGTGTCGCGCAGAGAAGCGTGCGGTCAGCAGGCTGTTCCAGAAACTGCACTATAACCGGTATTTCCCTTCGCGCGCCTGCATTTTAGGCGGTATGTAATTACGTGGAGTTCTATGGGAGGCGAACCGGTGGTTTAAAAAAAGCCACGTTATACCCGGTCCTGCACTATAAGCGGTTACGTTGTAAGTGGTCTATACTGTATTCATTTTCACCCAAGAGCAATAGTAAGAAAAGTTGGGCTTCTTATATTATGTAGTGGTGTCATGAAGTTTCTGTTGTCCTTTCCCTCCTGCCAAGTAAAGTCCTCTGCAACCCATGGATGTGCTTATTAATGTCGTGGATGGCCTTTTCCACAAGAAAATTGTTGCACTTCTACGAAGTTTTTCAGCATGCATATACTTTGTATCTGAGCCGTAGATGCCTAGTTCAATTATGGCTTTGGCTGTATGTAACCTGAACTATCCAGTTCCTGTCTTATTTACTCCGACGCTCGAGAAGCACAATGCAGTGTCATTCCTTCCTTGTACATTTTTAAATATTTCTCTTTTTTGTATCAGGCTTTGAGTCACAGGTACTAAAGCTGCTCTTGGAGCAGCGCCAGCAGCTCCGTGAGCTGTCGCAACAGAACACAGCCCTCAAGGAAAGCCAGGAGGAGCTGTGCCTGCGGCTGGCCCAGCTGGAGGGCCAACTTCCGAGGAGGACTGAGCCAGCTGGAGAGGCAATTCAGCTGCCTCTGTTCTCCCTGGAGGATTTCCAGGCCGCGGAGGAGGTCCTCCAAGATGGTGCCTCAAGAAAAGCTTTGGTATGGTGCATGGGATCTGTTGTGTCGTGCAGTAAGACATGAAATTTTAACTTGCTCCGTGATGCTTGTTGTGTGCACCAGCGTGAACATTCCTTTTCAAGTTATTCTTTTAGTGGAGGTATTGTATGCTTTATAGTGTATGCCTGTGCATTCCTAAACCACACAAAACATGAAAAATGTTGATTGTGGTATAAAACTCCTCTACTTCCACCCTTTCCCAGATTAAGGGAGTCTGTCAAACCATGGCAAATGATATGGCAAAAGGGGACTAACAACCATGTTTCCCCTATTTCCACAAAGTATTTCTGAGAAGAGCAAATAGTTTCTGCGCACTGCATAATGAACTACATTCTAGAGTTTCCAGACTATCCAGCATAATGCTGGCAGTTGGAATAAGATAAAATTAGCTTGGAAGATTGTATGTTAGCAGTTTCAAGAGTATAACACATTATAAAATGTCAAAGTGAGAAGGTGGAGGCCGCTGGAGTTCATGGGTGCATGGAGATGCACCCATGAACTCCAGCGGCGAGGCCGTTGTCTGCGCTCGCGCGACGAGGCACGCACAACTGCATGCCTGTCGTAGTTGTCCTCACGTGCATGCGAAGATGATTGCATGACAGAGGCACCAGCCGAGACACTTGCAATCCATTGTTTTACGTTTGCTTACTTTTGACAAAAATCTGTCTCGTCGGGAACCAGTAAAACGCAGGCAAACGGTTTTTCGGAATTGCTCGGCATTGCCTACAGCACTGTACACTTGTGGGATGTCTCAGCAGTAAGAACACAAGCAGAGAGTTCTGTCTCAAAACGTCACATCACAACACAACATAACACAAAATGGCCTTCGTTTCTACATCACCTAAAACAAATAATTTTATTTTTCTAAGAATATCTTCTCCAAAAGCCACTTTTGCTGCTACGAAACACTATCTTCGCTGTTCCAGAAGCCACTTTTGGTGCTCCAAAACACTGCTTGGGTTGCTCCAAAGGCCACATTTGCTGCTCTAAAACACTGTTTTGGCTGCTCCAAAAGGTGCTCCAAAATGGCTTAGGCCAATCACATCACTGGCTCACATAGAATGTGAGTGTTCATAAAACACCTTTAGTGTACTAGCTCAGGATAATTAACGTGCTCAAATTCAGTGTGAAAAACAAAACATAATCTATCTGTATACCGTAATCACTCAAATGTAACGCAACCATGATTGTAACGCAAAGGATGACTTCACAGCGCAAAAAAAATAAAAGAACACAAATGTAACGCCAGTAAAGTGAGGGGAAAAAAGTGATTTATTTGTTGCACATAGTGGCCAACACCTGCCAGTTTCTAAAAATAAAATGACTTTGCTCACTCATCCCTTTTGCCATTGGTAATCAAGTGTTCCCCCTGAGACAATGAGGTCCGCGGAAGCCTTTTTGGCTGGGCTCACACTTGAAGAGCGCTTCATGCTGGAGCCTGCACCCACAGATAGTCGATTTTGTCACATCCAGCCGCCGAGCCGCGGGAGAGTTTCCGATTTCCTCAGCCATCAAAATTTCACTTTTTTTAAAGTGAATATCGTACTGAGCTCGTCGCGTTGCCATTTCCTCGGGTCCAGTTGCGGAAGCACGAAGCAGCAGCCCGCGAAACACGGGCACATGGGTAAGGTAACCCTAACATGGGCGCAACGAGTCGCAAACAAGAATAGACTTGGATTGGCGGTTGCCAGCGTGTATATGTTGCCAGCACAAGAGTGAAAGATTGCGAGATTTTTCGTAGCTATTTTAAAGAGCCTGTGCTGCGACACCGCCAAGGCAAATTTTGAAGCATTTCGATTATAACGCGAACCCCCAAATTAGGTGAGGGAAATTTTGAAAAAAAACTTGCGTTACATTCGAGTGAATACGGTATTTGTCTAGGACTCTGTTAGCAAGATTTTACATTACGCTACTGCTATACTGTGCACGTGAAGCTCCCTAAACTGATATAGAAAATATAGCACTCATGACTAATTTTGTGTTTTGTTCGTATTGCAGAGAGCTCGGTTTGTTCTAATGGGTGGAACAAGTGTGAAGGATGCGGTTCGCTGCATCATGGAGCGAACCCTGAAAAAAGAAGTTCAGGCGCATTTTACTTTCGTGGGGCGGCAGGGGAAGCAGCCATTTAAAGGAACGAAGCTGTTTTCCGTCATCAAGGGTATGACTTCTGTCATTTACAGCTTTATTTATTGAACATGGATATCTAGTAATTTTTTAAATACCCAATGAACTTGATGTTTTGACACAAAGCAAACATTTAGAAGAAGCTTCTACTTGAAAACATGCAGAGTGTGCCCCATTTTTTCATGTAAAAAATGCTTTTATTTTGCACCATACTTTGGTCTCGGGGATGTATTTGGATGATGATGATGGTTTGGGCTTTTATGGCGCAAGAGCAACTTAGGCCATATTGTGCCAAGGATGTATTTGGATCTGTAATTGCTTAATCTTTAGCTTCAGCTTGAGTACTCAAGGTCCGTAGGCATAGAGTTGGATATTTTGTTTATTTCTTTGCTGATCTTGTATTTTTTTATTTACAAACAACACTGATCCTATCTGCGGGGTCGTGGCAAGGCGAAGTATTACAAGTCAAAGCATCAAAATATGAGTTACCCATTTAGAGCACAAAATGGAAACAAATGCACTTTCAGAATAGTGGTTAATACTGTCATAAGAAATTCCATTGAATTTTATAATCGTTTGAGGAAAAACTAAGAACTAAGGTCTGCAGAAGTTATTGTAAAAATTATGTATCTAAATCTGTTGCTCACAGTGCTTTGTGTATTTCTTTCTTGAGTGTGTTTCCGTTGTGTCTGATAATATAACCATAAAGTATGCTGGTAATGTTACGTTGTACACCATGTTCTGCGTAACTATTTTATGTTCACTTATGTTGCTCACCCCTATTACGGTCCCCATTGTAAGGACTAATAGTATTGTCAAATAAAATAAATATTAAGAATTAAAAAAATCAATTAGTAGAGTAAAATGGTAAGTTATCTTAATTGCTTGGCATAACAAATAAAAAAAGTTACAGTATCAACAGTGTTACTTTTTATACTTCTTATTAATTGATCAAAATTGGTAAAAGAACAAGGAGTGGGTTGGTAAAGGTAGGAAAGCATGTCTCTCTATGGGCTTTGTGGGGATTCCTGTGGTCTCCTTTCCTTGATGGCTGTGATACTGGCCGCAGGTTGGAACGCTCGGCCTCCTTCGCCGTGAGCCCTGGCCTGCTCGTGAAGCGGAAGGTCCTTGGTCTTGGTGGACGCTCCTCTCACTCTCCCGGGTGGACCTCTTCCTGGCCCCACGCTCGAATGCGGCTCAGGAAAGACAAGCAAGGTTTGGCCTCCTTTTTTCCGCTTTCGGAAACGGGGACTTGCCCAGTGATCGCAAAAGAAATAGGACATGTCTCAGCTCCTTCTTTGATGCTTCTTAGATCTTGGTTCTCTAGAACCCCGCGTATGGCAGGTAAGGACCTTTTCTTATTTTGCCGGCGTGGAAAGCATTCCAGGTGGGGACATAGTAGTTCGTATAGGAGAGTGTTTTCATAAATTCTCTTGGACACTGTCCTTACTCTGGTACGAGGGTCTTCTTTTCCGCTATATTCGAGAGAGTGAGACAAGGTTGTCAATCATAGGCACCGACGGCAGAAATAACTTATCAAACCGACCCAATGTAACGTGGCCTTAAATGTTGTCTACGTTGCCGCAGAGGTGTGGGACTGCGCTACTAGGTTGACATCTCCATTCAGATCGCCACCACTGTTAAGATAACCCTTTGGTTATCTCGAGCAGAAGTACCGATAGAGTAACCAAAGGGCCGTTTCAACAGCGGCGGCAATCTCGAAGGAGACACCAAGCTTAGTAGCACGGTCCCACATCATTGCTGAGGATTGGTTCAATAAATTTCTTCTGTCTGTGCTAATGATCGACTCTTTGTTTGATTGTCGAATATAGCGGACACACAAACCAGAGTAAGGACGGAGTCCAAGAGTATTTGTTAGAATACTCTCCTGTACAAACTACTATGTTCCCACCCAAAATGCCCCTTCCCCCCTTGCCTGCAATGTAAGAAAAGGTCCTTACCTGAGATGCAGGGTTCCGGAGAGCCAACATTGGGAAGCATCTGAGAAGTCACCGACATATCCTTCTATTTCGCGGTCACCGGACGAGTCACCTTCGTGAAAGTGGGAAAAGAGGAGGCAAAACCTCCTTGCCTGTCAGCAGTGATTTGCATCTGAGCGGGGGAAAGGAAAGGGGAACCACCGGGAGAGAGTGAGGGGAGGGCCCTCCAAGACAGGGGACCCTCTGTTTCACGAAGGAGTTGGGAGGTCATGGTGAAGAAGGTCGAGCATTCCGACCCGCGGCTATTATCAGAGCCATCGGGGAAGAGAGATCACAGGAATACCCACAGCTTTTACTCCATATCATCTTTGTTCATGTACATTTTTTTATGATACAAATGCAAGCCCTTTGGTAAGCTCAGAAACAAATCTAATATTTTATGTGTTAAAATGCACTCAATAGCTTTTGTTTATAGATGGCTAATTTTGTGTTTAACTAAAAATTGTGTAAAAAAATGGGTAAAAATGCACAATTAATTTTTTTACTAGCACAAACATTTATGAGGCATTCATATAGCAAAGCAAATTGCAGTGCACAAAAGCAAGCAAAAGCATTCCAGTACAGTGTGTATGAGCATCTTTTGTTTTGCTGTAATCCTCGTGATTGCACATCCTTGGACGAAGCGTGTCTATAATTGTCTGAATATAGCTGTCACAGATAGAAAATAATAGCACAAACATATTTTGTACGAAACCATCTTCCAGTTATTCAAGCACATTATTACATCATTTCGTCAGATAACATACAGCAAATTTTGGTAATGGGATGGCGTAATGGTGGAGACAACAATTTTAGTCTAACTTGTGTATTACTGTGTTTTGTATTTGGTGTTCTAGCTGCTGTCCAAAAAAAAAACGAAGGCGGCTGACACGGAGGTAGAGGCGGCCACCCGGGTCTACCTCTACGGTGTGAAGGACCGGGAGGGCGGGCGGCGTTCCCGCTTTTTGGAAGCTGTAGATGCTGCAGCTTCGAGGAGGATTGCAGCATTGAGCGAGGCTCCAGCTTCGAACAACGCTGTAGCCTCGGGCGAAGCTGCAGCCTCGTTCGATGTTGTGGACCTCTTCGAGGTTGCCGCATCCGGTGGCTGGAGCGACGAAGATTTCTAAGAATAAAACCCGTGACCAGTCTTGCGTTTTTGCCCTTTTTTAGCACCACTGGTGGAGGTGTTTTTATTTCAATGGGTTTGTAACTAGTGGTGATGTATCGTTTAATGCAGGAATAAAAGCTATACTCCTTCTAACTTTACAATGATCTGCAGTGGATGCTGTGAGCTATCCCAGGCAGACCAGCATGGTGAAGTTATTGCATGATTATGCCCCCCTCCCCCCCCCCATGTCAATGCAGTCCATCAACTTCACATTATTGTAAGGTAAAACAGTCTATATGTAATAACAATCCAATTGATGCAGCCAAAATTGTTAAATTGTCATAAATTGGTAGTTTTAAGTAATTTTCAGAGATGCCAACTTTACCAACTTTGGCTTGGGTCTAGTATTCCAAAAATCATATTTTGGTATGGTGTGTGGGTGCTATTTCAGGTTTATGTGGCAGAAGTCTGGCATTTTCAGCCATCTTGCCTTGGCTCATCCATGTCACTTTTTTATGCACTCCAGTGGCTAAACAGAGAAAAACAAAACTTTGGCATGCCTCTGGGCTTTCTGTGGCATTTTTGGCACATGTTAGACAATCCAGTGGGGAGCCAGAGAAAAGCTAGCTCTTATGCTCCTGAACCCCCAAATTAGGATTGACTGGCAGCTTTGGCTCAGGTATGGCTCTTTTAGCACTCCTGGGGCAAACCGTAGAAATGCCAAACTTTGGCATGCCTCTGGGCTTGCTTTGGCACTTTATGGCGGACCAGAGAGAAGCCTACTTTTTGTCCCCGAATTCCCAAATTGGGATTTACTATGGCTCAAGTATGGCACCAACTTTGGTGTTCTTCTGCCGGACCAGCAATGCTAAACTTTGATATGCCCCGAATTCCCAAATTAAAATTTACTATGGCAATTGTGGATAAAGTATGGCACCAACTTTTGCGCTCCTCTGCCGGACCAGAGCAATGCCAAACTTTTGTATGCCCCGAATTCCCAAATTAGAATTTACTATGGCAGTTATGGCTGAAGTATGGCACCAACTTTTGCGCTCCTTTGGCGAACCAGAGCGACAACGAACTTTGGCATGTCCGAAATACCCAAATTGGGCGTTGCTCTGGCACTTCTGGCCTAAGTATAGCACTACTTCGGCACTCCTGTGGCGAACCAGAGAAACGCCAAACTTTGGCGTGTCTGAAATACCCAAATTAGGAGTTGCTCTGGCAGCTATGGCTCAAGTATTGGGGAGGAGATCGAATGGTGGCGCTGGCTAGCGGCCGCCGTCGCAACTATTTTGCGGGAATAACAATTCCGCCGCTAGTATTCGTTCAGCCATGGAGGACGAAGACTTGAGGCTCGTGAAAGGTATGTGGAATAGTTATCTGCTCGAAAAGCATCTGCAAGGGGGGTAGCATAGTCCCTGCTTGTCTCGCCTTGCTTTAAATGTCGCCGCTATCTCGTTCGAAGCAAAAACCAACCCAAGTCTAGCCGCTCGCGATTGGCCGCGTCGCTCCGGCTGCGCGTGCCAGGTCGTGCGTGATTGACGCGGTGTGGCGATGTTTGTGCGCTTCCTAGGTTGGAGAAACCGTACTCACGGAACTCGCGCATTGCTTTTCAGTGTCCTTGTCACTTGCAACAACAATCAGCCATATCGGCGAGAGCAAGAGATGCCTCGTTGAAGGCGAAGACGTATCGAAGTCCGATCATGTGATAGCGTGCAGCGTCGCCCCGGAGCCGACGGCTGACAGCGTCCGCATCGTCGGATACGTCCTCCAGTCCTGCGCTCTGCACAGGGATCCGCATACAGTGCATCTCACTCTGAACAAAGGGGAGATTGTCTCTCTGTGCTGCACGTGCCCTGCAGGGCAAGAATGCACGTTTCCACTGCGTTTTTTTTTTTTTTTTTAACGGGAGGGGTTAGGCGATGTACCACGTTTTATTAGACGACATCAGTTCCTTCATCGTTCTCTTAATCTGCAAGGTAGTTTTGTTATGAAATGTTGCACTGCCTAGGCATTCCGTAGTTAAGAACTGATTTAAGTGAGGAAATCTACGAGGTGTTGTAGAAGTGGTGTAGAATGCAAGAGATATAACGGATGTGTGTTTGTGCTGCCCCCAGAAAGTCAAGCGAATGCAAGCACTGCACTGCTGTCCTGCTGAAAACCAACAGGATGCAAGAGCTTCCAGTTGTCAAGCACAGACTTGCCGCAGGCTTGGGGCCAGCATGCGAAGGATGTCGTCAAGACCAAGTATGCAGTGAGGTCTCTCATGGAGATCCCCTTCTGCCCAAAGGTGAGTGCTGTGCACAGCGAATATGTGCATATTTTTTTTGAAGTCCCGCTATCTTGAAATGGCAGTGCAGATTTATAACATCTGTACTCTGCATGTAGGTAGATATAATGCTTGTTTAAAAATAATGGTAGCCTTCAATAGTGGATGCATGCTTTTATAACAAGTGCATTGCTGGTCGGATTGACAGCGCATGATCGCCGTGCAGAGTTCAGTTACGTTTAGCTCGGGGCCAGAATGCGCCCAGCCAGCTGGCGACAGCCTGGGCTGGCACTTGGAAAGTACGCCTGAATCTAGAACTTGGCTGCCATGTTAAGGAATATGCAAACAGCTGGAGCTAGCTGCTGAAGTTCCTGGAAAATGCTCGAGTAGCTGGAGACAAGTCGCTCACAACAAAAGGGACCTCCAACCATACTAAAGGCAGAAAAATGGCCCTGCAGATCGCTTCCCGATACTCCATTGTCTACCTTTATTGCAAGCCTGTCTCGGACAACATCAGGGCTAGACAAAAGCAACAATGCCAGTCCGACTCCGAATAATGAACCAGGCAGCTACCCTGACCGTTATTCCAGCCAGGGTGGTTGTGTCCAAGCCGCATTTAAGTTGAGGGTAGAATGTGGGGTGCGGTTGCTCAGAGACGCCTCTAGGTACCCTAACCAAACAAAGACCCCTTTGGACACCATTTACTTTTCTCCAGAAATACTGGTGAGCACCTTCCGTTGTCTTGGAAGCCGGTGCCCAGTTCTGGTATGGGCCTCTCTCCAAGAGCCTTGTCCTGGCTGCTGGTCTCTCAGTGTTCCATACAGACAAATCACAGATAGCCAGGCGCATTAGGGTATTAGTGAATAGTCTGTTTTAAATATTTTCGTGCCAATTATGTTTAGACTGGTTTAAATTTTTGTGCTGAGCTTCAACTGCGGTGAACGTAGCCAAACATAGCAAAAAAGTTTCTTGAAACGTGCATTGCTTGGAAACAAATTGTTCGGCGTAATGAAATTTACTAAACCAAGCAAACAGGATCCCTTCCTGATGAAAGATGCCAGCTTGGCGTGGCCAATTGGTGGTAGAAAAGTGGCTGGCCAATTGGCTACATGTTTACCCTTAAACTGTGGCCGCAAGCGGCTGTCGTCTGCTAGCCACTGCGCCCTGCGCCTCTACAGTGTATTCCGCTGCTGAGTGGCAGTCATGGCGACAAAGCGCTGCCATTGTTTTTTTTGTTTTTAAAAGAGATTTCCTACATCTCTGACCAATCACAATCTTTGATGCCATCAGCTATATGAGTTTAACATTAACCTAGATAAGGGGTGTTTGTGGCTCGTGGAAATTAAAACATGATGCTCTATCCAAGACTTGGTGAATTACTAATTGTTCTCTGGATCTCAAGAGTCACGAAGGCCTTCCGCACATCTGTCCTGTACTATTCACAAAAGGAAGAGAACACGAAAAGGTAAATCTCGTTTTTTTTGCAAAAACTTTTCTCCCAATCTCTTGTTTAAACATACCTAAACTCATTACAAGGTGCAGTCATGCCTTTTTCTATGGCGAAACTAGTAAAGTGCAATGCCGTAACAAGTGAAGGTTATCCCAGTTGTGATCTTGTGACTCTAGGCACTGTTCCACAATGGGGCTAAGGTAGGCCAGAGCCGTATATGTAGAGAGTTTGGTCAATGGGAGGCGCAGGCAGAGCCAGGGCGTGCGGCAGACTCGGAAAGAGGGCTTGCCATGCTCTCTTCACCAACCAGAAGCCGAAAAGAATCCCCTAGCGGTGATAGCGAGAAACAGTTCTGATCGAAAGTCTGTGTTCGTATATGGTTTTAATAAGTGCGTAAGAGTGAAGTGTAGTAACTCTTGGTGGTTGAAAATAGGCTCACGTGTTATTTTGATCATGATTATCGAGAACGATGTAAGAAACGAATGCGCCGCTCAACTCTGTTTTGCGCGGACAGTGTGTGACCGCTCAAACGGCAGATTCTCGGCCCTTGGCGTTTGACGTACGGATAATGTCGATCGTTCCGCTACTTGCACTCTTCCACCATCATTTTTGATGAGCGTGATTGGTACATCACGTGTACCATATTTTCAGCCATCCAGAGTTATTTCAATGCAGTTATCAGGTTTGTTCCCGCGACCACCTCCAGGGTATTATTTCCGGCTTTTGGTTGGTCACATTCGAATTTCTGAAGACGCCCTGGAACACGCCCAGCCCGCTTTCGGCCAATGGCGCCTCCTCATTGGTCTCCTATACTTCCCAACAAATGGCCAAACTCTCTACATATACGGCTCTGAGGTAGGCTAATGCCCACCAGTATACTATTATAACTCCTGTGCCATAAGTTACGTCCCCTATTTCAGAGACAAGTGGAGCCAGCACTTCAGCAGCTGTGCCTCGACCCCGAAGCCTGCTTGAAGCGCTTCAGGACCTGCCTGAGGAGGAGACCGAAAACCTGCTGGAGCAACTCAAGCGCATAATGACACGAGAGGCTATTGCGGAAGTTGAGCGCATGACAATAACACAGGCCTCATCATCTGATTGGATGCTGTGCAGGAGGGGTATGGCCACTGCATCCATATGCCGTGGGTTCTTTACCCGCGCTGTCACTAAAGGCTCAACCACGGCCGCACAACTTGAGAGGTCTCCTTGACAAAGTGTTGCAAATCAGCACATTTCAGTCAGCGTCAATGAAGAGGGGACAGCAGAAGGAGGGAACTGCGAAAGAGAAATACCTATCAAAGCTGGTGAAGGAAGG